TGTGTGTGTGTGTGTGTGTGTGTGTGTGTGTGTGTGTGTGTGCGTGCGTGCGTGCGTGTATCTTACTCGGCATGATCCTCCACCATGTTTTTCTTTCCACCATTTGGTTTTTAGTATGTGAAGTTTACCTTCTTCTTGAAGTTTTAAAATAGCTCCACTTATGGCTGTCCTATATGGGGAATCTGAAATTTATTTCTTACTACAGTTTGAAATTATACTGGTAATTAGAGAAGATATAACAGTATTATCATAATATTATGATGTAAAGGTAAAAAATATTGATCTTGTTAATTAGAAATAATAAATCTTAATTATTACAATTAAACAATAAAAAAAAATGTTGTCAATAAATAAGTTTTTTTAATGATATACTTTATTTTGTAAATTATACAATAATATAATTTATAAATTTTATTTTAAATATTAACTTTATAAAAGAAAAAAAACCTTAATAGAATTACTATTTAATTGTAATAAAATATATAATTTATTTTTATGAAGATTTCAACTTCGGATGAAAGTACCGGATATAAAAATGTAAACAGTGTTATGGTCAATTTGAAATTACTGAATAAACATCATATATTCTGTAATTATTGTACATGATAACTATGTCATGCTAAGTGCAGGTCAAGATCAAGAATCATTGTCTTAAAACAATAAAAAATAATTAATTATTTAGTAATTAATCCTTTAACAATCAACTGTTTATTTATTCGGTATTAACGACTTTCGTGAAATTACTTCAGTAAATTCACCTTTCAATATATTCATTAACATTTACTTTTCTCTTTCAAAAAGAATTAGTGACTTTTTTTAGTACATTGTTCATGTAAACTACAATTGGATTATACAGTATCTACGAAATAATAAGTTAAATCAAAGAAACTATAAACACATTACATGAATTAATCATCAGCTAACTAATTATAACTATGAATTTGATATAAACTGAAACATTACGTTACATTCAGTTTATGTTACGTAATTTTAAGTATAAAGTTGAAAATCAATCGGCCTTATAATTACTTTTAATTAATATTTTTTATTATTTTTTATTTTAATATATTAATTTTATGATAATGAATAATAAATTAAAATGCTGAAAACACTTAACAATTTAATTTAACTTATTAGCAATTTAACTTATTACATAGTAAGTTGTTTTAAACGCAAAATGAATTTAACATTCCATCTTTGAAAATTTAAAATAACATTATGAAAAATACTATTATATTTAAGCTATGCCAAATGAAATATAAATTACAAATTATATAGTTTGCAATTTTTTATATCTTACTTGGAGGCATAGCGATTCCATAACCTTTTGAATCTAAAAGTCCACCAATTTGTGTTAATTCACAATTTCTTTCAATCACATATTCTATTGACGTTGATTCCATAAGAAAAGCATAATTTCCTTTTCCTTTAACAACTCGATTAACACCCTCAACATTGCTTTTAGTAAATACTTCGTTTGGTGCTTTTGCAGTTTCCATAAAATGCCACATTCGCTGATATGTAGAAAAATTCGAGTCCTGTAAACATAATATATTATTTAAATTTTCTAAATTATTATGTGTACGATAAGTATGTATACAATAAATATGAATCTAATATTTTTTAAAAAATTGAAATACAGAATACAAAAATATTTATTATATCACTAAGTAAAATATGACTACAATTAATTGACTTTTAAAGAAAATAATTGCAGGTATAAAATATTTTAATTCTATTATAGATATTCTTATGAATATTTAAAATTCGTATAATCAACAAATTTTACTGTTAGAGAAATACTGTAATATCCCGAATGAAGTAGCCATGGAATCCGTGTTTGTATAACTGCAATACAGAATTGATTTATATTTGCATTAATACTAATATAACATTATTTTTTAACATTCATTTCAATAATAAAGTAAAAATCGATTAATAAAATTAAAGATTAGTAAAAAGAGCGGCATCAAGACCACCCATCATGGAGGGGAGTTGAGCAAGACCCGCTCTCATTGGAGCCTACATCTTGGAAAGACTCACTGGTGGGAGACCCCACCACTCAAAAAGGCGCCGTGATTAGAATTACCATAAACTAAAGAAGAATTCTGATTGGATACACTAATAAGACTAATCTCATTGGCGATGCCATGATCGACAAGACAGCTCTGATTGGTGACACCAAAAGAGAGGGAATTCTCTCCGACCACCGCGTGGTCGACAGAAGGCTTTAAAAAGGCGACGCTGGCAAGGCGAAAAAGAACAAGTCAATTAAAACGCAGTCAAACAATTAGAAAGTCCAAGTTAATTACGCAAGATTATTCTATTCAACACAAGTGCTAGATAATCAAATCATACACTCGCAGCAGTGCAATACAAGTAAAAAGGGGAATCGAGAATTACGAAAATCAGTTCGCACAGTATACACAATCAAACTGCAAGGAGCCACACGAGGCAACTCAAAAAACAAGAAAAAACATAGCTATACACAACACGCAGAACTAAGAGGTAACGTTCCATTCCTAATTAATACATAACTATATCAAGCTATACGCGCTAATCTGCAGATACGTAAAGCTATCTGCAAAACATACCACAAGCAATTCAAGCAACGCCACGTGCTCATATACAAGGAAGCGCGGGGGTTTACGACCTCGCTCTTCTGTGTGTATTATTCCATCTACACGTGTGTCACATATAGAGGACCAGCAAGACGTCAACTTCTTCCTGTGTATGCGACGTACGTGATAGCTCAGTGGCAATAAAACATAAAATCAAGAAAAGCAAAACACAATTATAAAAATCATTATAATCCAACTAATGCAATTATCACAATAAACTAAAACAAATACCAAATCTATTTATTATTGAATACATGCACTATCCTGTCCACTTGCCCGCAATCCTCTCTTCCACCATCTGGAAGTTTACACCTAACTCTAGATATTTGGCCCTCCTAGCCCGGTACTCTATTTTTAGACAATCACATTATATGTTATGTTTTAATAAAGTACAAATAACTCTATGTATAAAAAAAGTGAAATACCCTATCTCATCTTATAATGATGACCAAATAATACAAGCAACAGAGAATACTATTGAATCATTTCATAAGTAGTTGTGTCTAGAATGCGAATTTCTCGTTCATTATTTTTAACGATACGTATAGAATATTTAATATTAAAATTCGGTTAAATTTCGAACTATTTAATCTCTTGAAGAGCGTAGATTATCTTGAGCAACATTTTTTGTTCTATTGTTTGTAATAAATGTTGCACGTATAAGGCATTCACATTTCATTATAGACTTTATATGGAATTCTTTTTGAACTTAATAAATTTGAAATTTTTATAAAATATCTTGAAGATATATCTTAAGGTATATCATATTGTTTCAGATATTTGGTTTATTAATACTTAAATTATAAAATATATAAATGTAGTTGTTTTATGGGGGAAGACTGTTGATTGAGCATTTTTTAAAGTAAAAATAATAGCAAATTAGTCATTGCAATGCAATAATTTTGTAAATATATACATGGGTTAAAATTCTGTTTAAAATTTTTATAATGTCATATATGGCACAATCTTATTTTAGAATATCATTTGCTGAATTTGCAGTAATAATTATAACATCATATTTTAATTATTAATTTTATATTAATTTCGATAAAGATATTTACTTATGATAAACTTATAAATAAATACATTTGAATGTCTTACAAATCATGTAAGAACAAAAAATAATATATTTGAAAATATCTTTTGATGAAATTTTAATGAAAGTATTAGATTACAATATGTAGCATAATAAATATTACATTCTATACTGTGCATTGAATTTTATATATATTTATAAAATCATGTTACATTTATAAATATAATGAAAGATAATTTTTTACCTGGCACTTTGTATTCTTTTATAATGCACATGAAATGATTCAGTAAAATCTTCATTAGGATATTCTGGTATAAAAATTATTTTTTTTATATGTCCAAAAAGAGAAAACTTTTCTTTCAATTCTTCAAATAAATTCAATTTTGGTACACCACATACTATTAAATGTTGTGACTCATCATTGATTGTATAAACCTAATGAATCAAATTCACGTAAATATAATTACATTAAAGCATATAATAATTTTAAAGATTTTTATTAGCAAAATTCTTTATACAAATTTTAAATAAAAGTATATTTTCAAAAATAAATTAAAATACTTTTTAAAAATTAAAATCTTATTGAGAAAATAGAAAGTAAAAATAAATAATAAATTCATAGATAAAAATCATTAAAAATGAACGTTCTTTACACTAATAAATGTTAAATTTCAGAAATTGTTTCAGTCGGCTTTGCCAACTAATAATGTATATTATAAATTTGTCAATTGATTTATTTTATATTTTATATATTTATTAATATCATTAATTAATTTATTATTTATTGACATAAATAATATAAATTTGAATGTGATAACAAATATAATTTAATAAAAATTTATTAAAAATATAATTTTCACAATGGTAATCCCACTAATAAGTGATTTGTAATTTATTATGATAAACGAACACGTCAAAATTCATTTCATTATTAAACAATATAGTAAAGTTAAATATAAATAAACTTCTTTTAATTGTATAAATGAGGTAGTACTTTATTCACGTGCTATTAATTTAAAATTGATTTGGAAGACGAATATAGGAATATCATTATACATTTGTATTCGGGGTTAGAACAACTTTGAAGAATTTAAAAATCGGGAAAAGTACAAGCTCTCAGTCGCTCATGTTTGTAAACATTAAGATCATCAAGATTTTCGGCCTAGCAACAAGCCCAAGCGCTGTTGCCAGCGTCGTAAGCTATTACGCGAATACTTAAGAGCAGCTCGCCACGCGCCGGGGCTCACGATGCCTTTACCATCTACTCGTCATTGGTTATGGCTCACTGTAATTTTACCAATCATTCTCTCAAGTATCAGTTATTATTCGCACAACTACGAAACTCAGCCGCGTACGTAGCAATCAGCCTACAATACACAAGCACATAATTCTACCAGAATCATAATTAACCAGAAAAGGTTAGTAATTCAAAAGTGAAGCCACAAGACTTATAACCACTAAGTGCGCCAAGCCAAGTAGTCATCAGTACGCAGTGTCGGTAGTTTATAATGTGCCACCATATAATTATTCGTCCAAGCATTCACACTCAAACCACGTTTTATATAGAGTCTGCCAAGAAAGTAGTGTATTGCGCTCTCTCATTGCCTTCATTGCGGAGAACGTTGGTTCACTTCTCTAAATCAAGGACAGGTGGCGCAGTTCGCTCTCTAAGTGCCTCCATTGCAGAGAGCGTTCGTTCACTTCACCACATGAAGGACAGATGGCGCAGTACGCTTTCTCAGTGCCTTAATTGCATAGAATGTTCGTTCTCTTCTCCAGTCCGCATAACCTACAATTGTAAAGGGCAGACTGCTGTTCTTCAAATAGTCGACTATAACCTCATAATATCAAGTCCTTCCGCACTCGAAGGTATATCATTTATTGTTCTTGCGTATAACTAGCTCACTAATACTCCCATACTCCCCTTGGAGTATAGTCGATTTTACATGATAACGACCACAGAGACATTGACATGCTCTCCTTTTATGTATTATTAATTCTCCCTGTTAAGCACTGCTAACTGCCATTACTATCTTTTCATGCTCATTGATAAGCATGATCGACTGCTCATGCCGATCCTTACAACATCAGCATAGAACCCAATAATCAACATTTATTGCAAATTCCTATAATATCAACGACATTGCCACCATTCCGAAGAAGTAACCTCACCATTGAAATAGAATAATTCCCTCTCTCTCACTAGAAGTAATCATCGAACTACAATATTGTATTGTTAATAAACCAGAATAAACGATGTCTTAAATCAAAGTTACATAATGTACATATTTACAGCCCTTCCGAAAATTAAAGCCCTTTCAGAAAATTAAATATATTTTCAACATTTAATCCTTCGAACCTACTGTAACTGTATAAAACCATATATATAAATCCAAGATATTTATTAAAAATTTGTATTTACAGTATATGCAGCAATATTAACTTTAAACAAAAAAAAAATTTTTTAATAATTTTTGTAATAAAGAAACTATCGATATAAAACAAATATCTGAGACTTATAATTAAAAAGTAATGTGAAAATTGAATATTTTTAATGTTTTTTTTTGTTTTTTATTAAAAATGAAATATTATTTTAACTTCTTTATTTATTCATTTACTTATTCGTATGTCATCATATTTATTATACTCAACAAAATGGGCTTCTTAAATAATTCATTTTTTAAAAATTGACAATGGATAGTTGTTTTCCAAATGATGGCTTATTCAACATGTATAGTAAGGTAAACTATAAACTATAAAATTAATCACTTTAATTAATATTTTAGTAGTTTATATAGAGGAATTAATATACATTATAATAGCGTATAATAGTATTATTATCTACGTAAAAATGATACTGTTCGAAACTGTATGATTTCCTGGCTCGAACTGCCAATGTTTCAATGGCTTTCTAATAATTGCAAAGAGTTATGCATACTCAATTAGAGGGAGTATGGCTGAATTGTGTAATAGTTACCCTCAATAGAAAATACTGGTATACCTTCGTGATAAGGAGTACTTCGATATCATGCTTCTTGTTGTCGAATATTTTCTTGTAATGCAGTCAGCACCCTTGACTGCTCGTAAGTTGATACTCACTAGATAATTGAGGTGGGTTTCTTGTGTAGTGGCTTCAATGAGCGTGATTACATGAATACCTCATCGCTGAATAGCGCCTATCTAGTGGTGCGCTTGCCTTAAATATTCACGCGACAGCTTTATTAGCTGACATCAATGGAGGCGATTATGGTGCTAGAAACAATAGATGCGACTGTGGTGCGAGAAACAATGGAGGTGATTGTGCTCTTGTTTTTTCCGGATGTGTGGCTTTTCTGAATGTCCGACGACTCTTGGAGGTTTTTCCAGAAATTATAGCCGTTGGAGTTTTCTCCGAAATGGTATCATTCGAGAGATTCTCGTAATCTCGAACAGATGCCGAATGAAAAACATGATTACATATATTATGAACATCACACATGATAGTAACCATAATTCAATTTATACTTCAATATCATTATTAAATAATTCAAACGTCAAATTGACAGAATTTTTTGTATAATTTGAATAAGTATTTTTAAAAAATTTATGCAATTTTCTAAATTAATTAAAAATTTTCGAAAATTGTAATTTAATTTTATTTGCAACTTTTTACTACATTCATTATATTATAGCTTAATTATTTTGTAACCACTATATTCAAGATATCAGGTTTAAAAGATATTTATCCTTTTATTTGCATAATCAATCGATTTGTTTTAAGTTTTTGTATAAACATTGAGCTTTACAATGATAAACATATATGCAATAAAAGATGGGGTTCTAAAAATATCTCAAAATTGTGCATATCTGAGTTACCTATCAGTCTTATCAATAAAAGAATTTAATACCTTATTGGAATTGTATTAAAATTTTCGATTGTATTCAAGTACTCTAGTATATGCATATATTTATTTTCAAATATTTATATTCAACCAATAATAAGATAACTTTCTCTTTACTCGGGCTATGCTCTTTAAAATATTTATTAAAAAATGGATAAGCAGTTTTCATTAGCGATATTATATTAAAAACAATTTATTTATTTTGGTCAGTGACACAAGAGAAATTAATAGAAAATAATTAGTAATTTATTTTTAAAAAAAATATATAAATATATAGAAAATACAAAATTTTATTTTTTATTGATATGTCAGTTATATAATTTATTAAGTAATTAGTGATTCTTAATATGGAATAGTTGATATGTGAGAAATAAAACAAGTAGTAATTATTTTAATTTAAAATTGAAATTGAGAAATTTATATTTCAATTGAATTTGTTTGAAGAAAGTATAAAATGTTACATGCAATGTGTTTTGTAATCATATATGTAATGTATAAATAATATTGTAAAAATGTGTCTTCTGTTTGGAAATATTAAATTTTTATAAAACAAGAAAATACTAATTATTTGTCTTTAAGAGATTTTATGCACTAATTAAATTTGTTAGAATATATTTATTTTTTAATACTATTTCATATAATTTGAAATAAATTACATTTTCTGTTTTTTTTTTATCTTAATATACACTACTGTCTATTACTGTTACTTTAATCGAATGTATAAGGTTAAAATTATTTTCTATTTTAAATATCTGCTATGAAAGATTAAAAAGATATATAGCCTGTAAAAGATAATAAATATATTTAATTAAGTATACACCGAAATTCATTTAATTTTCTTATATAAAAATGAAAAATAAAGAATTACCAAAAAAGAAATTTGAATAATGTTTTAATAACTGCTTATTAATATAGAATAAAATAATTATATTAACAACTCTATTTTCATGCCATTATCCGAAAACACTTAAGTTCTATAATTGAATTGTTACATATGCTTTATAACGTGACTGCATTTTCTGTGATTGCTGAAAACACTAAATTAGTTTAATTTAAGTTTCTTTCTTATAAACTTACAGGATAATCTCTATCGTGTTACTTAACTCATCTAAAAATTACATACTACCTTCCAAATGTGTTGTGTTAAATATGATTTCATAGAGTGTCATATACTTATGTTCATGAAACTATTCATATTAACGATGAGTAACAAATATATATTTTCATGATTTTTTAGTTTGTAACTGCTTTCATATTACAGCTTTTTAAAATAAGAAATTCAAAACCGCTTATACCATTAAAAGATGACAATAAATTATCCATATATTAATGTATTGGTCGTATATGCAATATATAATTGCTTTACGGGAAAGTTATTTTTTTATTATGAAAAGTATTGTAAAATTGAATAATTCTATTAATTTGTATGTCATATTCTTAAAATTCATCTGAATTTTAATTCTGATCTTGATTATTGATCAAGATTTTATTTAAAAACTTAAATGGGTTTGAAATACTAATTTATAGTTTGTACATTTTTATAAAATGTATAATATAAATAAGAAATATTATCTTTATAACAAAACAGGGTAATAATACGTATATGTATAAGTAATAAACAGTAAACAATATATATAAACAGTTAATACCAATTATAAGAAAGTTAATAAAGAGATATTTATCTGCAAATGACCTTTGTTTAATACTGGAGCTTTATAATCATATAGGAGGAATAATATTAATAATAAATAGATAAATCAGATGAGTATCTCCTTTCTTCTATTCTATGCAAATGGCAATATGTAGATAATTATAAACATTCTCATGCATTAATACTCATATGTTTAGCTTTTCAAAAACATACATATTTTAATATGAGAATCGAGCAGTACTGCTAATAACACCTTTAGTATATGTCAACTTTTTTTATGCAAATGATATCATGTGAATTCATAATTATTATTTGAATGTGAATTTACTAAATCTTTCAATATTTTTTTTTTTGTCATTGAACAGATAATTTTTACTCGTTACTTATTCATTTTTTGTATATCAGTTTTATCAAAGAAAAATGTAAATAAAAATGTTACTTGAATATAAATATTATTAATACAAAACTAGCATAAAATATAATACCTTTATAGCAGTAAATTTCCTTCCTTGTCTGTAAAATGGTCTAGTATAGCATAAATTTTTTTGAATATGATGATCTAATTGAAAAATTGACTTATTCTCCATTTTTCTATTATGTACATAAAAATTCATATGTAAGTTGTATATATGCAGTAAAAGAATATTTATAAATTAAAAATTAATTTTAAACTAATAAAAACATTTTAATTTTTCTATATTTTTAGCTTCACAGATTTTAATATGCTGAAGAACTATATCTAAGAAAAGAGAAACACTTGTTTTGTGTTGTATTGCCACCACCTACTACGCTAATTTTATGTAGCATGTAAATGAACAAATGAAATAATATATGTGTTATTACGAATGAAATTATGAATAAATGAAAGACTGAGTACAAAGCATGTTGAGAAAGGGACATTAGACTTTAGGAAGAACTGTTAGTGACAAACTAGTATCATTAGTATCTTTATAAATTTTTATAAAAAATATTTCATAAGTAAAATTATTTAGTTTGTAAAATAATTTTGTAATATAAAAACAAATGGTACTGCTTACAAATTTTAATATTAATATATGGGAATTAGAAAACAATATATTCATCGAAAATTGTATTAACAGTTAAATAATAAAATTGATAATTTATATTATAATATGTACTTGCACAAACTAACATATAATGTTTATTTATATAAATTTGTAAATATAGTATTTTTATTCCATAATATTAATGAATAATTTATAATTTCTTTAAATACAATACCAAATTTTTAATCTAAATATTTTATTTTATTTTATTTATTAATCGTTAATCAAAAGTAAAACATGAACACTAAAATATACAGTTATTTATTAAAAACATTTATTAATATATCATTAACTATTTAATTAAATATTTCTTAAGTCATATATGCAAATTCTATGTAATATATATGAATTATATCCAACAATTAATTTCTAAAATATTCTATGACATTATAATATGCTAGTAGAACATTATAATTAAGATTATTAGTAGTGATATTATTGGTATAGCATTAACCATGTATATTAATCAAATATCAATTTAATAATAAAAATTAATTTAAGTAATTTTTATACAAATCTTTTAAATTTAACAATTTTATTATTTACTCAAAATTAAGAAAGTATGATAGATTATACGAATTATTTAAGAAATATATATAATTTTCTGTTTAATTTATGTAACAATATGTAAAATTTATTTTTAAAAACCTCAGAAATACTTTAAAAATAATTAATTTAAAAATTATTTTAATCTAACCTATAATTTTCACAAAATTAAAAAATTTTATGAATAAATTTCCATGCATGGCATGCTTATATAAATACAAAGTACATAGTATTAATGTAAGGAATGATTAGCCATGTGAACAAGAAATTTTTGATTTTTGGTTTATTTCTAATATGCAAAACTATTTACATTGTTTTTCAACCAGTAAAATATTTATCATTTATTGTTATAAAGTAGTTATAAAAAAGGCGGTTCGTATGAAATTACAAATGAAATGGAAACTCAATTATTGAATATTATCATAAATATAAATAAATAGATTACAAATCCATTTAAAAATATAGATATAAAACGACCATTAAGTTTATAATCTAAATGACAAAAACAAAATAAAAATTGTTTTCAAATAAAATATTCAATAACATTTTTTAGAAAATTCATACAATTCAATCGAAATGAATTTAACTCGCTAATGGCGAATTTATGTCCAAAAAGTTATATATTCTGTTATTACATTTAGAATTTACTGGGTGATAAGTGAATCTCAGCATGAGAACGTCATTCGGTTTTGTAGTCTTATTCATTCTAATTAAAAATTTTATTGACATGATATAATGAAACCTAAACAATATTTATTTAATTTAAGTGATATTTATTGAATTATATTTCTTATGCAATAATTAATTAGCATAAAATTATATAGTTTGATGTAGCCATTAAGATACCTCATAAAAAGCAAATCGATCCTATCTTATATAATAAAAGGATTAGTGTAGAATAACGTTATATATTTATATATATATATATATATGTGTGTGTGTGTGTTTGTGCGACTGTGTGTATGCGTGTAGCTTTGTGTGCATCATAAAAACTCAATTTATATTGTAAAGATAATAACGTGTGTTGCATATATCTTTTATAATGATTGCGTGTAAGTTTAATTCGATAATAGATACATTTTTTTTATTAATTCTTGTATTCAAGTTCCGTACATGAAATATATAATGATTAAATTTTATGTATACATAATAAATGTTTTTAAATAAATACATTTTTACGTGTATTTTATTTATCTGAATGTCTACTGTTTACAATTGCATGTAAAATGAAGATGAAATTACATAAGATTCTTTATGAATTAATATTAATAACCCAATACTCTAATATTATAATACTTCTAATATTATAAAATATCATATATAGTGCGTACAAAAGTGTACAATAAAAAATATAGTAATAAAAAAGACGAAACTTGAAAGAATTAATTAAAAGAATAAATTATTGAATGAAGCTTTAAAATAAGTTAGAATAAATTATTAATTACTGTATATGGGATTGAAAATAGCTATGCACAGTAATTACCTAAATAATTATTTATTAATAATTATATTTTTTTTTTTAATTAGATCTAATAAATTATAAGACACACGTAGTAATAAATTATTTTTAATTACAATTTAAAATATTACAATTTTTACTATTAATTTTAATGTATAGGAATATTTTACTAAAATTACATTAACATAATAAAATTTATATATTTAAATGGTACGCTTCAAAATATGAAATTAAATTTACAAGTAATAAAAAAATAGGCATACAATTGGTTAAAAATATTGATATAAAAATTTTGTACGCTGGAAGTTTATCTTTGCAAAATTAAAAAAATTATTTACATATACATATTTGATTACATGTAACAAATTGTACATAATTGTAACAATTAATAATATTTCTGAAAGTAAGGTAATAAGCGTATAATTAAAAATAGTTCAATCAAAACATAATAAAATATAAAAATCTTAAGTACATAGATTTAAAATGTAATAAATTATATTTTTTACGAAGTTATTTTTACGAAAATTGTTCGAAAATTTATCTATTGGTAAAATATGAAAATTGATTGAAATTAAAATCTTTCAAAGAAAAAGCAACTTTAAACTCCTATTGCGCATATTTTAAATTATTTAGTGTTCCGTTAACTAGTTGTATATATATATATATATTTATATCATTGTCCAAATATCCATTCGCCTATTGATTTTTGATAAGAAAAATTGAAAACGCAAAATATCTATATATTTGAATGAATCAAGCAACAATCAAATAATTTGTTATGATCAATTCTTTCATAATTGTAAAATAATAATTGGTTAGTAATTTATAAAAATTCATTGGTAAAAGTTTGGTTAAGTTTATTTTGTTCGGTATTAAGTTATTAAATTTAGTGAGAATGGGTACACAGAAATTTTAGTTTCATTTATTTTTAAAATATTTCTTTTTTGTATAGATAATGCCAGCTTCAAATTCTATAAGTGTTGCTGTTATTTGTTCAAGTAATATGAACAGAAGTATGGAAGCTCATGCATTTCTTAGGTATATATTATATTATTTTATTTTTTTATTATTTTATGATTTAATTTCTCCTATGTGATCAGTAAAAAGGGTTTCAATGTCAAATCTTTTGGTACTGGCGATAAAGTTAAATTACCCGGAAATGCTCCAGATCGTCCAAACATTTATGACTTTGGTACAACATATGAAGATATCTACAATGATTTGCTGACTAAAGACAAACAATAGTATCCTACGAATTATTGAAATCATCATAAAATTATTTATACATTTTTTCCTTTATGTAAGTTATTAGTTATACACAAAATGGCCTTTTACACATGTTAGATCGTAATCGTAGAATTAAATCTAAACCTGAAAGATTTCAGTTGTCAAAAGATAAATTTGACATTTTAATAACGTGTGAAGAACGAGTGTATGATCAAGTAATTGAATGCATGGAATCAAGATCACAAGAAGATAATCAAACTGCTCATCTTATTAATATTGATATTCAAGATAATCATGAAGAAGCAACTGTAGGATCATTTCTTATTTGTGAATTGGTTTCAGTGGTAATAAAAAATAATACCTATATACAAATAAAAATTAATTAATAATTAAATTTATAAATATATTATTTTTTTGCAGCTAGCAAATAGTGACGATCTTGATAATGATATTGATGAACTTCTTCATGAGTTTGAATCTAAATTTGATAAGTCAATATTACACACTGTATTATTTTATTGAAATAATCTTCATGGGTCGATTAGGAATTTAAATCAATAATTGTATGGAATCGTTAATATTAATATTAAGCAGTTGAACGAAATTGAACTGCCTTGCAGTAATACACACACTCATACGCATTATTTCAAGGCTACGAATAAGATGTATTTACAAATATTTAATAAACCAAAATAATTATTTAAATCAAATGCATTTTAACATATTAATTATCTGAACTTTATTCATGTATATAAATAGATACATATGCATGCATACGCAATAAATGAATGTACTTATGTATGAAATTTAAAATATATTTTAATGCTGGTCAAGATGAGCATAAATTCTTCTACTCTTTTCATGTTTTTTATTTATCGAATTCTTATTTTTCTTCCAAGTTTTACTTGTATAGCATTCATTTGGTAATAATTGAACTATCGTGGTATGAGAACTGGAAAATAAAATTACCATCAATAATTTTTATAGTCAATCATAAAATTTGCTTTTTCATTTGCTTAAATCGCAAAATTATGTAGTAATTTAATATTTAATTATTAAATGTATTAAAAAATATATAGAAAATTTGTTAGTTTATATATGTGTATAGATTAAATATTGCATTTACTTTTGCAATTTACATATAAAGAACATAAGCATTTGAAATAAAAGTAAATAAAACATAAATATAGAATCCAGATATTCTTAATGCAATAAATTGAATAAAGAATTTATCATTTAAGTATAAAATATTTAAAAAATTTTAAAATATAAATATTAATTTATTAACAAATAACAACTTAAGTTTAAGTCTTATTAAAAATATATATTTTTTAGTATCATACAACTTTCAAACTAATACAAAATTATTCTATAAAATAAATATTAATGAAGCATGTAGAAAAATTTATACATTTGTCAAAAAATTTGAATAATTATGTTAATCATATATCTCTTTAAAAATAACTAAAAATTTAACTAATTTCATAAATTGGTTAGTCAATGCATACAAATTTAGACATAACTAATAAAAAAATTTAATAATTGCATAGTAATTGAATATAGGAATGTGTTTTGTAGTAAATATAATTGAAGAAAAATTTGTACATCATAAATTGTAAAATGTTCAATAATTTATTATATACCTATTTAATTGCATATGTCTTCCTTTTATATGGACATTTATTGTATTTTTTTTAAAAAAAGTGGTATCTAATTCTGCAATTGTAGATTGAATATATTTTTTACTTTTAGTATTATCTAATACTATGGATGAAGAATTAACTTTTTTTTTTTCTAATGTAAAGGAATAAAATTCATTTTGATTATAATTGGGAGGCGCTGAACAATATAATAATTTTCCATTAACAAAATCTTTTAATATGTGTTGAGCTGATCGTGCATTATCTGGTTGACCATTTTGAGTCATAAATCCACGGTTGTCTATAAAATTAAGATAATTATGAATATTTTACTTTCAATTTAGATATTAACAGTTAAATTAAATAATAAGATTTAAATACATCCATGAGCATTAAGAATTTCTTCAGCCATTGGTGAATGAGTAATATCTTGTTCCGAAGTAAGGGGAATCATAATTCCATATAATTCCTCGATATGTTGTCTTGGTATTAGTGTTCCTAATAAATTTACCGAAGGAATATAATCTTGTATATGGCTTATCGGTAAAATTCCATTTAATATCATTTCAGCTTTTGTTCGTACGAAACTTGGCAACACAATACCTGGACAATCACATAGAATTAGTTCGTTATCTAGATTTAATGATTGAACATGTTTTGATTTTCCCGGTGTTGCAGAAACAGGTACTTTTTTTTTATTAAATAAAACATTTATTATTGAACTCTTTCCAACATTAGGATAACCAACAAAACCTATTGTTACAGGATTTGTAAAATTTGATTTGGTAGATACAGTTTTGAAAAATGCAATTAAATCATTCCTATTTAAAATTTTAGATTTGTTTGAAATTTTTAATAAAGTTAGTGCTTCATCATTTCTTTTATTACACAAATTTTTATTTATGTCAAGATTTGGAATAATTTTAGTTACTGTATTATTCAAATTGTTTTTTAGTTTTTCAAATGTAGGTAACTCAGCATTAAAATTGTATATTAAGTTTGTGTTATTTTTTTCTTCAGAACTATATTCTGCATATTGACTACATTCAATACCATTGTTCTTTACAGCTGAAGTAGCTGAAAAAAAAACAATTTTGACACCAACTATAGAAAAATAGTTTGCCCAAATTTTTCTTTGATCTAATGTCAAAAAATCAGCTTTATTAATTAAAATTATATTAACTTTATTATGATTTACTTCTTTAACATATTGTTCTAGATCTGTACAACGAAATAATAAAGGATTACGAGCATCAACAATTTGAACAATAACATCACTATGTTCAATTACTCTCCATAATTGCCTCCAACGTTCTATATTTGTTTCATAAGGTGTTATTACATAACTATGTAACTCTTCTAATACAGATAGTTTTTTTTTCCATTCTAAAAATTCTTTTTTTTCATAAATTTTAAATTCTTGAATTGTCATTTTGTTATCCCATTTTGGTCTTCTTGCAATTGTTAAAAATTCATTTCTGTTTCCCAATAAATTAACTGAGGTACACTTTTCTTTAAATAATGAGTTCATTTTTTTTTTGGTATCAATCAATTTAACATTAAATTTTTGTGCTTGAAATTCTGACCCAATTAATTCAATAGTAGAATAAAATTTATTATAGGAACTTTCTTCTGTAATCGAATGAAGATTTAATACACTTGAATTAAATCCACCTTGCATATTTAAGCTACAAATCTGTCCATAAAAAAAATATAATAAGTAAGAAATACTGATAATAAATACAATTTTTATTTAACATTAATTCGTATTGACATTATTTTATTTATACCTAATTTATTTTATATCTATACATTTTTTAAATAACAATTTAAAAAAAAAATTTATATATAAACTGTTAACTTATCAAAAATCAGCAGATATACAATTTGATAATGTTCTTCCAATTGAATGCCTATCTTTACTCCTATATTGAGAACAATTATAATATATTTAATACTTTTAAGAATTCTTGATCCTAAACACTTTATATTAAAAATTAACATTATAATCAATTTATATTAAATTACATTAACTTAAAAAATTATTTTTTATTTTTTTAAGCACTTCTATTTTATATTAAAAACTCAATAAGCACATGTATATCTGTGTATGTATAAATATATATATATATATATATATATATATATATACATACATACGAAATAAAATAATAATCTAGATATATTTAAATATTATAACTATCCAAAAATTTTAAAGACACTGGTAATACATTTGAAATTATATTATTACTTTACAATTTAATATTATACTTATTCAATTTGAGGGTAAATAAAAATATGTGTATCAAATATAATAATTTAATAATGAATAAGTGCTTTTGTACAATATTTTATAAGGTAATCAATTATGAATTATGAATTCAAGAAGCAACCTTTATGGTATATAAACAATATATATATATATATATATATATATATATTACAATATTACAATTTATATATAAATTATACAATATATATTCTCAATTAGTTTTAGTATACACTTTCACGATATCTTTTGTGCTTTGATAAATTATTGTACATATAATTTAGATATTAAATTATTTAGAAAATATTTGTAAAACAGTATTAATAAATATTGTATATCGGATGTTTATGTTTATCTCAACATTAATTAAAATTGTATATTGTAAAACTTTACTAGTTTAAAAAAAAAAACTATTCAATGATTAAAACTATTGTTAATCTATTCATGAAGAATCGATAAAAAAAATTAAATTTAGAATATATAAATGATATATATCAGTAAAATAAAATCACATAAATTTTACTTATGCAGAATTAAAGAAACAGATTATCAAATATGATTAACATTTTTATTTTCCATAAAAAGCTATACATGTTTGGAGAAATATTTAAAAATAGTTAAAAATACATCAATAAATAACATTAATTATGGACAAATGGTTTACTTCACTATATATATATATATATAGATTTTGTATCATTTAAACTAAATTTATAAATAAATGAATCATGAATTTTTAATAATTTCATATTTAATATTGATTACTTATAAAATAATAAATAAATTCCATAAATTACAAAATTTGTACATTAATCTCAATATACCAGACTAACCTATAAATCCATATGAGGTCAACAATATACATATGGAAATAAATTAAATTAGCAATATGAATAATTATTTTCTTACCAAATGATCATCATTAATAATTGAATGTTTATTCCTTGTAAAACAATCTTTTATTAATACTCTTCAAAATGTTTTTTCCTTGTAATTTTTTCACATCTTGTTCACGCATTTGATTAACAATTATAAATATAATATTATGTTAATATAATATATATGTGTATAATGTAATGTTGTTTAGGGATTCAAAGTACTAGTAAAAATATAGGGCTTAAGAAATTTATTTTAAATTGATGCATTGAAAATGTATTTATGTAGATATATTTGTTGAACGAAAACAAAATTCAGCCATACTTCAAACGTGTGCTTCACTGTAACAACTATCATCTGCATATAATGACATTTAAATTAATATGATGTGTTGATCAATAGTTAGATAATTTATTTAATATTTCAATAGGTTTAATTCCGTTGTCAAAATGATTTAACATACTATGCTTGTCAAAAATTGAATAAATTTATTATAATTGAACTCATACTATATTTTCATGTAAACATATTTACTTTTTAAAAATAATAACAAAAATCCATTTAATTCAACCCTTATTCTTTGTTTTCATATGTTCAATGTTCGTCCATTAAAATTCATAAAATCTTCTGTTTCTTTTAATGAAAATAATAAATTAATAAATATATATCCTTATAAATGAGACTATAGGCACCGTCTGGTGGGAGAAAGGTTTGGGCAAGTGGAAGGGGTAGTGCTTCGATTCATTATTTAATACATCTACTTTTCGTGCTTGGTATTTCGTTTATTTTACTACTCCAATATAATGATTCTATATTGACTATGAGAATCGGTGAGATCTTGCCGTTCCTTGGTTATTGCCACATGGTGTCAGCGTGCACTACTTGCAAAGCTAGGAGGTCATAAATCACTGGATCCTTTTGACGTGATGCGCTTGGTGGTGGATGTTCACCCGGAGATATGTGAGGTCGTAAATCCCTGGACATTTCTTGGTGTAGTGTCACGTGGTGGTAACTTGATTGTTGGTCCCCTCCAAGCTATCTGTAGTGTGGAGAAATGAGGAGGACCTTCCGTAGCGGCTCTGCTGAGAGTATGTGTAATGGCTGCACCTAGTATGAGAAAGAACCGCAACAGCATCGTGCTCGAGGCACTAATATGTGTAAGATTCGTTTTGGCTGAATAATTCTTGGCTGACTAGCGTCTTGATCAACTAGCTCATGACTGAGTAGCACCTTGATCGACTAGCTCGAGTAGCGCCTATCTCATGGCGTGCTTGCCTTAAATATCTACGCGGCAGCGTTATTAGCTGAATTATTAGCTGAAAACAAAGGGCCGATCACAGCATTAGAAATAATGGGTGCGACTGTAGTGCGAGAAATAATGGAGCTGATTGTGCACTTGTATCATTTCGGATGTACCAGCAATTCCGAACCTCCAACGACCGTTGGACAATTTTCTTAGAAGTTATGACCATTGAATCATTTCCTCGAAAGATAGCCATTGAGTGTTTTCCCCTAAATGATAACATTCGAGAGATTCTCTAAATCTCAAACAATATATATTTTCATAAATACTATATTTTTCGAAAAACATTTTTAATATTTTTATAAGTCCATTACATCGATTTATTTTTTGATGATAAAAAACTTTATATTATTCAGCATAACTATTACTATTTGTTCGAAATTGTAATAATATTCCCAAGTCATTAGATATCAGGAAAACTGGCTATTAGAGTTCCGAAAAACCAAGTCGTTAAGCATCTGGCAAAAACATGTCATTCAAAATTGTGAAAAACAAGTGATAAAAATATAAGCAAAAAACCACGTGGTTTAACATTCGGAAAAAGGATATTAAAGGCAACATTGCAATGCATACGCTGTTGTCAAACCCAGCTACATGTGGCTCGGATAGTAAAGCGAGAACGCGCCAAAAAAGTCCCCCTCATGGTGGGGATGCAAGTAAGAGGCGTTCTGATTGGAAATGCCAAGAAGGAGACAATTCGTAAAGACCACGCGTTGGTGAAGAATGCTTTTAAGAAAGACACTGGTAAGGCGCAACAACTTCTCACAAGAGAAGCCGGCAAGGCTTTTTCTCGAAAAGGACGCCAAAGAACAAGGATATAGACATATGCAGTAAAGGCCAAGAATTAAGAGACAAAGGCAAGTCATATCCAACTCATGACAATTACAAGATAAGTGCAAATCAAATCATATACTCGCCACAGTGCAAGAAAAGAAAAAGGGAACAAGAAAACAGTGGTTCACAGAGCACAACATAATCATAACCTATAAGTTGCCACTCGAGGCAAATTCAGTAAACAATACGAGGTATAGCCAGCAAAACACAAAACAGACACTACAAGCTGCCGCATGAGGCAAAGCCTGCAGACATCACGAGTTGTCATCAAGAGCACCAAATCTCAGAACTCAAAAGTTCCATTCCTTAATAATGATAATTATACACATTATGCCTCACAAGACAAAGTACTGTAGAGCGACCAAGCGCGCACAATCTGCAAACGCATAAGGGGCAAGTTTAGCTCCCACGAGATAGACTTACGAGGCACCGTACGCGGCAATATTTGCAGACCAAGATGAAGTGCCACCAAGAGCACACCTGCAGAGTTTACAAGGTAAGCAATAAGACAATAACAAGGCAAACTCAAGATACTGCCACGTGCCATTACAAAAGGAAGCGCGGGGATTTACGACCTTGCACTTCTACGTGTATAATTACACCACTACGCGCACCACATGAAACATTGATTTTTATAAATAATAAATCGCATAAAAAATTTGCGATTTCCAATCTATTTGAAAAATATCCTCATTCTATATTATTCTTTCTAGATTATCTCTCTCATATCCAGAAACCGTCATTAAATATATCTAATCAAACACTTTGAATCTTCAACCTCTCTTTCAACCTTTAATACTTATTAGATAATATAATATCGTGCATGTTTTGTGATATATGGCTAAGCCTTTTAATAAACTTGATTAAAACTTTGTTATATTTGCCTATACATCAGCATCTACTTCATCTTGCCTGCATTTGTAACATAAATTTTTCACATCCGTCATTTTTTTAAATTCGACATTTCTTATAATAGTGCCAACCATAAAACAGAGGCATAAACGTCATGGTATATAGGCTATTTGGATGGTGATGTGGTGTACAAAAATAAAACTGATAAAAATTACATTAACATATAATATATATGCATTGTTCATAAATACTACATATTGTCAACGTCCACGAAATGGCCAATTAGCCACAAGCAAAAAATGTTATATTGATATAATTTATACTCAACAAATAGCAATGTAAACAACCACCATAATTTAATCATTGCTTATAATTATTTGTTGACCTCTGCATTAAAAATTATAAAAAAACAATATATGATATAACATAACCCCCATTTTTACACACATCGAAATCACTATTCTATTTGCATTCATAACGATAAAAAAGTGCCAGTTTATTATATTTACCTATTCAATTATGGAACTCCAATTTTAGTGATATATTTCTTTTTTTTTAATTGTAATGTCTTTATTTTTTAATATATTAAAGTATACAGGATTTAAGATATATAAAACAACTTTAACATTTATATAATCAATATGAACATAATAATATATAATAATAATAAAAAATACAACTTTTAGCCAAAGGTTTTGTGTTGAAAAGGATAGTGAATCTTAATATTATATTTACTTGTAAATTTATGAATAATTAAATATTAAACCAACTATTGGCTCAATAACAACTTAGTAAGCATAAAATCTACTTTATTTATAAAATAAATCAAATATTATAATATATTATTTAAAACAGGAAAATTAAAACTTATGAATATTTCATATCTAACTTATTATCATAACAACTACATAATTAAATAATTCTAATAATGATAATTCTATTATATAAATTCAATTCTAATAGAAATTTTTAAGTTAAAAATTATTCATTTATATAATGTAATATATACTATATATAATAATACAAATTTTTAATTGCTATAGTACAGCACACATTGTAAAGAAAATTTTCTTCGTTCTATCGTGTGGAAATTATTGCATATAAGGTAAGAAAATCAAAAGAAAAATATTATTAATATATAAAGAAAATACAAGATTGGTTATATGACTAAATTATGAAAACCGAATATGTATAATTAAAAAAAAACATGGAAAAAGAAAAGCTGAATATATATTCTATAGAAGAGAAATAGTTATAGTTTATAGAACACATGAGTATAAATAATATATTTTAAAGAAAATTGTAATCTATCCATAAAAAGTGATATCGAAAAATTTTCGTATATGTGATTGATTTAATTATTATATTGATAATTAATCTTAATAAATTGTATATTATTCAAATTTCATCTAAATTCGACAAACACGGTATAAATAAAATTTTAACAAAAACAAATAATTTTAACGTAAATTTTTTGACATGGAAAAAATCTTAAAAGGAAGAAAATATGAAAACTCTAAATAATTGCAATAACAGTTAATTATTTATATGATAATCTTATAATGCTATTAATAAATAATTTTACAAATTATTATTTGTTTTAAAATATATTTTGTTTTAAATATTTCCTATTTTCTAATTTAAGAATTAAAAAACTTTTAAAAAATCATTATATATTTAAGACTACGATTTTCATATTTAATAGTTTTAAAATTTTTAAGTTTATTCGTGGAATTAATATAACAGTGAAAGTAATCTTAATATCTAATGTTTTGATCATATTTCAAGAAATGATTATTAATATATTGGTATATTTCACATGTTAACAAATTGTATATTAAATAGAAAATAAAGATAAGAAACTAATGAGTAACAAAAAAGAGCTGTTCATATAGTACTTACGTATTTAATAATATGTCAGTTTTGTTAGATCGACAATATTGCATACACAATGTATCCCATTCAACAAAACAATAAACAATCGTCAAAATATTCGTTAAAATCATACTCATTAATAAAAAAAAAAATATATATATATATATGATATATTAGTATACTTATAATGGTTATTATCTTTTATTCATTATCGACATTTTTTCGCATTTTTTCCATGTAATGTATGGTTGCAGATATTACAAATACATAAATGTTTAATTATGAATAAATAATACAATGGATTATCTTTTGTTCGTAATTTTAAATCATGGATAGTAATAAAATAGTTATTACAGTGAATTACGGTAATTATTAAAAAAATATATTATTTATTAAATCACATTTTTAAATATGATATAAATAATACGATATGTAATATTTCATCGTGTATTTAAATAACAATGAACAATTTTATGAAAAAAAACGTGCAGAAATTGAAATCGATGTGTATAACATAGGTTACTAGAGCTGTCATAGATAATTGTAAGTTTAATACAATAATTTAAATAATTATATTTTATGTTGTGAAAATTTTTTTTTTAAGTCAGAAAAATACTCTATTTTGCACATAATAATTATTATAAAACATCAAAATTTTAAATGTAAAGCCTTTTTATAAATTATTATTCCTCTATAACAATTAAATATTTAATTCAATTAAATTTACAGCTAAAAATTATTTATAAATATTGGGAAACATGGTTTTAATTTTCATTTAATTTAAAGTTTTAAATACATATATCATATAAAATATATAGTATAAATAATATCACAATATTAAAATAAAAAATTTATTTAGTAAAGATATTTTCAAAATAGTTTTTATATATGTTACGTACATTTATTAATTATTGTTTATTTACAATTTATTTTCCTTCTATTTACCCTAACAATTTGTTATATACATATACATTGCAACCAATCAGAATGAAGTTATCACTGAGCAGACTATTCTTAAAGAAATAGTCAGTTGAACAGATCACATAGTCAAATTATAATTTTATTTGTTCTTAAAATGTCTGAATTTAAATTAAATCGATCGATTTCTTTTTTCACATACATTTTGCACACCGCTTGCAGAAGTGTTTGTATTATTAATTTTTGAAACTTATTTAGTTTAATTTATAATAAACATTGATTAACTGTAACAATTAATAATATATTTTATTCAACCATGCTAGACACCTTTTGTAACACATTTGAGATATCCTGAAAAAATGGCTGCACGAACACAGCCGCACCCGAGTATACCTGTTGGACCTAATAATAAAATGATAGAAATGTACTATTTTGATAGAGATGCTAAACGACAAGTTCAGTTGCCAACTATTTTATTTAAAAGTACTCGATTGATGCCTGGGTAAATGAATAAAGTTTTATATTTTTATAATTTCTAAAATTTAACTTTAAAATAGTTAAAATAGAATTTTCAAAATGTTTAGAAAATATATGAAATAATTAGTATTAAGATATTTTTTAGTAAACAATATACTTCTCATAAATTAATAAAAATAAAAATGTTTGAATTTTTATTGATCTTAATTTTAATGTGAAAATACAATAGACAAAGTTGTTTGATATTTTTATATTAACATGTTATAAATAAAGTAAGAAATTCATATTTTATTATACAATTTATTATAATTGATTTAGTAAGTTTATATATTTTTTAATATTGTTGCAGGGAGGATATTCAGAAATTAACATATTTTACTCAAAATAAGTGATATCAATGTACCACAGAAAATCAACTTCAACAGTAGAATTCAATCAAAATTAATTTAAAATGTACCTAAATCATGGCTTATGTCTAATTATGATATATATTGTTAATAAAAAGAAGCTGTGGAAATACTTATTTAATATCAATTATGAAATGAATAACTAAATATATATTCATTAAATTTGATCATCAAATTATTAGTTTTATTATATATTCTATTTAATTTCTATTTTCATTTAAAAAGGTAGTAATTCCTAAAGTGAATAAATATTTTATTTTCTAATTTTGTAAGATTTACAATATTATAGGGAAATTATAATTAATGCTTGTTAATTATGTGTTTGAATTATTTATTTTATTTTATTTAATCTACATTTTAATTTTTTTAAAATGGAATTTGATTTTGATAATATTGTATCATGTCATATGTTTTAGTACGGAAATTTAAACAGCTATTTTTAACAACAGTTAACATAGAAATTGCAGCGTCTCTGTCAGTAGCCATAGGTACAAATCTTTTTCTTAAATCTTCAATTGTTTGTCCACGGAAACAAGGCAAACCTGTATCTAACATCAGAGACACTAAAGATATGATTGCTTCATGGTATGGCCTTAAAAATTATAATAATTTTCAATTAATATGAATAATATCAATAACATTTATTTTATTTAATATATAATATAAATTAATATAATATAATTACCGTATTGTAAGAAATGCTTGAACACAGAGTTCCATAAACCAACGGAAAGGTGCTGCTTCCATTTTTCCTCCCATTAGTAGAAGCATTTCATCAGTAAGCTTAATATCTGGTTCAAAACCTAGGTTTCCACCTGGAGAACTTCCAAACATAAAGCCAAAATCAATGTGAATAATATGACCATCTTCATCTATCATAATATTTCCATTGTGTCTATCTTTAATTTGAAGTAAATAAGTAATTACACTGTAAGCAGCCATAGATTTAATAAAATTTCGTTTAACATTTTGGAAAGCTTCAGATGTTTCATCTCTGTACTTAAATAAAAAGTACTCGTACATTCCATAATCAGTTTGTCGACCAAGTTGATCACGTGATTTAGCTTTAGGTACACATTCAATTACACCACACTATGAAGTAATAAATCGAATATAATAATTTAATAAACATATTACATGATTCTATTTTAAATTATAATCTTACTCCAGGTGCAGTAGCAACAACTCGATAAGGGAAAAGAAAGAGATTCAATCCAGCTTGTTGAAATATATGCTTGAAAATGCTAATAACTTGTAAAGCTAGCATATCTTGTCTCACATCATCACCTACTTTAAAAATTGCAGCCTGCCAATTTTCTTGACTGGAATTGTTTATTTTGAGTTTTTCATTATTAGTCGATGTCATTGCAATATTTTCTAATTCCTTTATACCATAACGTTGAACCTTAAATCTAGCCAAAAATGGAGCTTTGGCAGCACTTTGCATAGGCGTACCACTGTCATAATCAATATCAATTACCATTGCTTCAGGATTTGAAGGCAAATAACATCCAGGTTGAACTCTAATTTTTTTTAAAGCAGTAAGGCAAGCTTGTTTTCGCTCAGGTCCTTTTGGATATGGCCTTATTTCACCTGATATACTAGTAATTTTTTCAAAAAAATTAAATTCCCTGTCATAAAATTGTTTTGCTGGGCCTGATAAAGTACTTAAGATATTTTTTATTAAAGCGTCTAAAGTATCAAAAAGATTTGGATCTTTTACTTGTTTGTCTTCATCTATATACATATTTGTATGCATATTCCAAATCAACTGATGAGCAACAATCTGGAATAAATATGAATTTTAATATGAATGTATTTTTATTTGTTACCTAATTTTACCTGAGAGCGTTTAGCTATTGCTTTAATAAATTCAGTAACATATCCTAATGAATCGTGCCTAACTGCTTGTACTAATTGTGGAATGTAAAATAATACAGCATCTGCTGGATAACTTTCTAAAACATTAACAGCAAATTGTGCAGAAATTGGATGATGTGGAAATTGTCTTGAAAAATATGCTAAGGCTTGAATTGGTGAAACTCTAGCCCAAGTTAACATGTAGAATAACTATAAAAATAATTTACAAAATTATATTATTTAATTGAATATAAAATATCAATTTTTTTTTAAATAATGAAGGAATTTGATTAAACACCTTTGATATATCATTAAGTAAAGTCTCAGTAGTAACAAAATACTGCAAAGCTTCTGGTATATGCATTGCTGGGATAGGTTGAAGCTGTACAAGTCGACAAACTTCTTTTACAATTTCAGAATTTTTTAAGCGTACAGGTAGAAATACAGCAAGTATAGGACTAATTTCCCAAGCAAGACGCGTACACTCACGGTAACTACCGTTCTTAGATTCTGCACGCCATTTAGCTATAATTTGTTCTCCCGAAACTGTAAAGTCTTGTTGACCTCCTGGATTAGCCCAGACCTAAGGTATATAAATAGATAAAATTCTAATAACAGATTCTATAAGAAAATATAATATGGATAAATTTATATTTAAAATACTATTTAAATAGTAAAATTATATAATATATATTTTTTTTAATTATGAAATTAATTAAAAATTTAACAATTCTACCACTGAAGAATATACAAATAGAAAGTTTTTAACGGCGGATGTAATGATAAAGTTGAAAGCTTTAATAACTGTATTAATTTATTTTGTATTTTAATATAATTTCAAAAGCCGTTACATGCAAAAGGTAACAAACACTAAACTAACTCGCATGGTTCAACGGTTAAAATAATTAATGTATCGTATAAATATGGAAATATGTCAATGCCTAATATCCAATCGGCAAAGAACAATAATTAAATTGTAAAATAATCTCTGTTGTACAGTTGAAATAAACTAAGCCATAAAAATTGTTAAATATTTATAAATATTTTTATCGTATGGTTATAATTTTATTATATAGAAGGCTAATTATAAAATTATCATTAATACCAAATAAAAATAAAACATAATTACCGGATATATAATTCATTGTATCTTTAATTGAAAACTATAATGTTTTTTATATATAATATATAATTTATAATAAACCCGTAATTCCTATTAACTTGTGTAAATAAATTATCGTATCAAATTCAGATATTCCGAGAGTTGTGTGCAGCAAAAATAAGTTTGATAATAAAAAATACATAACATTGTAGAAAATATATATTAACAATATACGTATTTTGTAATGGTTAAAAAAAATATTGAACTTCTAAAAGTTTCAAATCGAAATTTATATTAATAAATATTGTCTTATTCGTTAATGAAACTGTTAAAAAGAATTAAATAATATAAAAGGGTCTTTACAGATAATTATTGTTTTCAATTTTAAAAAAATAATAATTCATCTATATTATATTTATGAAAAAATTAATATAGATTTTTAACATTTGATTTTACTTTATCTTTCAAAAAATCGGCAGATAAAATGAGTAAATTAACTTTAAATTAAATAACAAGCACATCAATATTGGTATTAATTATTGATAAAAATAAAATATTTAATACATGCAGATTTTATATTAATTTATTATTAAGTTAAATAATCTACGTTAACTATATAACTCTAAGATAACTATATATTTATTTTTCAATTGTTCCATTTCTAAAGACTTAAAATTTTGAAAATAATTAAAATAAAATATTTTCTTAGAATCAAAGTATTGTAACCTAATATTTAAAAAATACATTTTTAATGTTGTAAAGAAATTTAAATTTAAAAAGGTAAAAACAAATAAAATAAAATTAATCAATTTTGATGCACATTCTTATTTAAAATTATATAACTTGTATTGATATAATAATTCAATAAAAGCAAAATTATATAATTTGTTTTATATTCAATCATTTATGATACATTCTGAATTACCATTTTTTTTAAACGTCTGCTATTTTAATATTGTTATTACATTAATTAATAGAACCAAATTTATATTATATAATTTTATTATTTATAATTATATATTTATATAATTTATAACTTTAAACCAATAAAATATAAAAACAAAATAATTTATTTATTCTTCTTGTATTGGCCCGAAACTGATATAAATAACTATGTTCATGATTTATTAAATTAAATGATATATTAATATAATTATACATAGTAATTAATAAACTAATAAAACTATTACTTACTAATAACAATTCAATCTCCACAACCAAAAGTTCCAAAATAATATTACGTTTTCTAATATAGTCTTTAACGCATATATTTTTTATGTCGAATCTTTTGCTACGATTACTACGTTTACTTATATTATTACTACTTATCGAATGTGGTATTGTATTTATCCAAGTAGTATTACAAGACTTGGCGAACTCGTTACCGGTCGGGACGAAAGAGGCATTTACTGATTCATGACTCAGAAAACTTGGCAGTGTATTTACTTGTGAATGTCTAATTATTTCCAAGTCAGTTTCACCATTGGATTTACTCAAATACTTTTTATCACTATGTATTAATTTCCAAAATCGTATTAATGTTCCTATATCTTCTCTTAACTGTTCTAATTCCTGAGTAGGACTTTGTTTTGTACGACAAAAATAATCAAGACAATTACAGTGAATACGCTCTCGTAATATATCTTTATTAAGTGATTTTGGAAGAATATCACCTTGCAACAAGTTTAATCCACAAGATAGAAGTTTAAATCGAACGCCAACTGCGGCAATATGACGATTAAGATGAGGTTCGTCATTGGCCGCACCTACACACATTGGTAACGATCGATGAAGTAAAAGTCCAACCATTTCAACAGTCTCCTGACAACAAGATTTAGTTGTTTCAACGAGCTCTATAATAAAAGAAATCCAGATTTCATGAGGTTTAACGATGGGTGGATTCGGCTCCAACTTACAACCTTCGTATACTGCTAATGGATTGACTTGATCGTCTTCTATTGAAAACAATCCCATACGTTTATCAACTGTATACTGCCAGGCTGAAAACATTTCTTGAAGAAATCGAAGTTTCAAATCTGGTCTAGCTGTTAACATCCACTGCCAGCATTCGACTGCGGTCATCATTGCTGGTTCCGTGAAAAGTTCGATTTGAGAGCAAGATACATTATGAAGTAATTGTCTATGTATTCCTATAAAATAAATGACAAACCAAAAATTAATTTATATTTTAATAATAAATTTTTAGTATTTTAAGTAACAGGCATGCAATCGTATGCTTTATCTACGATACTATAAAAAAAAATAAAAAGTAATTATATAAAATCTTCTAATATTTTAAACTATCAGAGTAAAATTAACTTGAGCAAAAACAGTGAGGATCAAGAATTAAATTTTGTACTTATATACTAAGTTTTGTACTTATTTTTTGTATAGAAATTCCAATATTAGTTAAAATATTTATTCTATTTTTCAGAAGAACTGTTAAGAGTTGTAATATGCGTTGCATGTACAGGTAATTATTAATATAAAATTAATAATTAAAATATGATGTTATAATTATTACTGCAAATTCAGCAAATGATATTCTAAAATAAGATTGTGCCATATATGACATTATAAAAATTTTAAACAGAATTTTAACCCATGTATATATTTACAAAATTATTGCATTGCAATGACTAATTTGCTATTATTTTTACTTTAAAAAATGCTCAATCAACAGTCTTCCCCCATAAAACAACTACATTTATATATTTTATAATTTAAGTATTAATAAACCAAATATCTGAAACAATATGATATACCTTAAGATATATCTTCAAGATATTTTATAAAAATTTCAAATTTATTAAGTTCAAAAAGAATTCCATATAAAGTCTATAATGAAATGTGAATGCCTTATACGTGCAACATTTATTACAAACAATAGAACAAAAAATGTTGCTCAAGATAATCTACGCTCTTCAAGAGATTAAATAGTTCGAAATTTAACCGAATTTTAATATTAAATATTCTATACGTATCGTTAAAAATAATGAACGAGAAATTCGCATTCTAGACACAACTACTTATGAAATGATTCAATAGTATTCTCTGTTGCTTGTATTATTTGGTCATCATTATAAGATGAGATAGGGTATTTCACTTTTTTTATACATAGAGTTATTTGTACTTTATTAAAACATAACATATAATGTGATTGTCTAAAAATAGAGTACCGGGCTAGGAGGGCCAAATATCTAGAGTTAGGTGTAAACTTCCAGATGGTGGAAGAGAGGATTGCGGGCAAGTGGACAGGATAGTGCATGTATTCAATAATAAATAGATTTGGTATTTGTTTTAGTTTATTGTGATAATTGCATTAGTTGGATTATAATGATTTTTATAATTGTGTTTTGCTTTTCTTGATTTTATGTTTTATTGCCACTGAGCTATCACGTACGTCGCATACACAGGAAGAAGTTGACGTCTTGCTGGTCCTCTATATGTGACACACGTGTAGATGGAATAATACACACAGAAGAGCGAGGTCGTAAACCCCCGCGCTTCCTTGTATATGAGCACGTGGCGTTGCTTGAATTGCTTGTGGTATGTTTTGCAGATAGCTTTACGTATCTGCAGATTAGCGCGTATAGCTTGATATAGTTATGTATTAATTAGGAATGGAACGTTACCTCTTAGTTCTGCGTGTTGTGTATAGCTATGTTTTTTCTTGTTTTTTGAGTTGCCTCGTGTGGCTCCTTGCAGTTTGATTGTGTATACTGTGCGAACTGATTTTCGTAATTCTCGATTCCCCTTTTTACTTGTATTGCACTGCTGCGAGTGTATGATTTGATTATCTAGCACTTGTGTTGAATAGAATAATCTTGCGTAATTAACTTGGACTTTCTAATTGTTTGACTGCGTTTTAATTGACTTGTTCTTTTTCGCCTTGCCAGCGTCGCCTTTTTAAAGCCTTCTGTCGACCACGCGGTGGTCGGAGAGAATTCCCTCTCTTTTGGTGTCACCAATCAGAGCTGTCTTGTCGATCATGGCATCGCCAATGAGATTAGTCTTATTAGTGTATCCAATCAGAATTCTTCTTTAGTTTATGGTAATTCTAATCACGGCGCCTTTTTGAGTGGTGGGGTCTCCCACCAGTGAGTCTTTCCAAGATGTAGGCTCCAATGAGAGCGGGTCTTGCTCAACTCCCCTCCATGATGGGTGGTCTTGATGCCGCTCTTTTTACTAATCTTTAATTTTATTAATCGATTTTTACTTTATTATTGAAATGAATGTTAAAAAATAATGTTATATTAGTATTAATGCAAATATAAATCAATTCTGTATTGCAGTTATACAAACACGGATTCCATGGCTACTTCATTCGGGATATTACAGTATTTCTCTAACAGTAAAATTTGTTGATTATACGAATTTTAAATATTCATAAGAATATCTATAATAGAATTAAAATATTTTATACCTGCAATTATTTTCTTTAAAAGTCAATTAATTGTAGTCATATTTTACTTAGTGATATAATAAATATTTTTGTATTCTGTATTTCAATTTTTTAAAAAATATTAGATTCATATTTATTGTATACATACTTATCGTACACATAATAATTTAGAAAATTTAAATAATATATTATGTTTACAGGACTCGAATTTTTCTACATATCAGCGAATGTGGCATTTTATGGAAACTGCAAAAGCACCAAACGAAGTATTTACTAAAAGCAATGTTGAGGGTGTTAATCGAGTTGTTAAAGGAAAAGGAAATTATGCTTTTCTTATGGAATCAACGTCAATAGAATATGTGATTGAAAGAAATTGTGAATTAACACAAATTGGTGGACTTTTAGATTCAAAAGGTTATGGAATCGCTATGCCTCCAAGTAAGATATAAAAAATTGCAAACTATATAATTTGTAATTTATATTTCATTTGGCATAGCTTAAATATAATAGTATTTTTCATAATGTTATTTTAAATTTTCAAAGATGGAATGTTAAATTCATTTTGCGTTTAAAACAACTTACTATGTAATAAGTTAAATTGCTAATAAGTTAAATTAAATTGTTAAGTGTTTTCAGCATTTTAATTTATTATTCATTATCATAAAATTAATATATTAAAATAAAAAATAATAAAAAATATTAATTAAAAGTAATTATAAGGCCGATTGATTTTCAACTTTATACTTAAAATTACGTAACATAAACTGAATGTAACGTAATGTTTCAGTTTATATCAAATTCATAGTTATAATTAGTTAGCTGATGATTAATTCATGTAATGTGTTTATAGTTTCTTTGATTTAACTTATTATTTCGTAGATACTGTATAATCCAATTGTAGTTTACATGAACAATGTACTAAAAAAAGTCACTAATTCTTTTTGAAAGAGAAAAGTAAATGTTAATGAATATATTGAAAGGTGAATTTACTGAAGTAATTTCACGAAAGTCGTTAATACCGAATAAATAAACAGTTGATTGTTAAAGGATTAATTACTAAATAATTAATTATTTTTTATTGTTTTAAGACAATGATTCTTGATCTTGACCTGCACTTAGCATGACATAGTTATCATGTACAATAATTACAGAATATATGATGTTTATTCAGTAATTTCAAATTGACCATAACACTGTTTACATTTTTATATCCGGTACTTTCATCCGAAGTTGAAATCTTCATAAAAATAAATTATATATTTTATTACAATTAAATAGTAATTCTATTAAGGTTTTTTTTCTTTTATAAAGTTAATATTTAAAATAAAATTTATAAATTATATTATTGTATAATTTACAAAATAAAGTATATCATTAAAAAAACTTATTTATTGACAACATTTTTTTTTATTGTTTAATTGTAATAATTAAGATTTATTATTTCTAATTAACAAGATCAATATTTTTTACCTTTACATCATAATATTATGATAATACTGTTATATCTTCTCTAATTACCAGTATAATTTCAAACTGTAGTAAGAAATAAATTTCAGATTCCCCATATAGGACAGCCATAAGTGGAGCTATTTTAAAACTTCAAGAAGAAGGTAAACTTCACATACTAAAAACCAAATGGTGGAAAGAAAAACATGGTGGAGGATCATGCCGAGTAAGATACACGCACGCACGCACGCACACACACACACACACACACACACACACACACACACACACA